TCAGAACTATCAAGAAAGGAAACAGATCTGTCGTTGAATACCTTCGGCATGTAAAGACCTTGTGTGATGAACTCAAGGCTATAAAGAATCCAGTCTCAGTAGATGAACACACAGAGGTAATCTTGGATGGACTTCCACCTGAATTCAATGCTTTTGTTACTTCAGTTCGTGCACGTGAAAATCCTTATGCTCTAGATGATTTTCGAATTGAGCTCATAACATATGAAATGATGTTAGCCAAACAAAATGAAGTTCTGCTATCAGAGTCTATGACAGTGAATCTTGCTCAAAAGAATGCAACATCTGATCAGAATGAAAATCCAGGACATCCTGCTCCTCTGGCTTCAAATTCGTTTGATCATCAATATAACAATGGCTCTAATTCAGCAAATAGAGGTAGAGGAAGGTATCTTGGCAGAAACTATCGTGGTAGAGGAAGAGGAGGTCGTAGCAATCTCCAGTGTCAGCTATGCTACAAGTTTGGACACAATGTGCACAGTTGCTGGCATAGGTTTGATGAAAGCTTTATTCCCTCAAAACATGCACCTGAAGCACCTCAGTATTTCAACAACAACTCATATCAGAGGTCATTTCATTATACAAGACCTCCTTCCAATCCTCAAACTCCACAGATTATGCTCACATCACTTCCAACACAGACTCCTCCTTCACAGCACACTGTTGCTCTTCAACGAGGCCTCTTGCCTACTCCACCACAACCTGCTTCTTTGGATTGGTATCCAGACTCAGGTGCATCGCATCATGTGACTGCTGAACCTCACAACCTTCTCCAGAGCTCTCAGCTATCAGGTTCAGATCAGATCTTCATTGGAAATGGTCAAGGTCTGAAAATTAGAGCTATTGGTTCTTCTCATTTCTCATCTCCCTTCAAACCACACACGAATCTGTTTCTTCATAATCTGCTTCTTGTACCTTCCATTACCAAAAATTTAGTCAGTGTTAGCAAATTTGCAAGAGATAACAATGTGTATCTTGAATTTCACTCATTCTCATGCTATGTAAAATCACAAGACACACATGAGATCCTACTCGAAGGAGCTCTAGGGACTGATGGACTGTATAGATTCAATGATGTTCAACTTCCTCATTCTTCAAGACAGCATAGGCAGCATAGCAATTCACTGTTGTCTTCTACTACTTCTGTCAATAATCCTACTTGTAATTCAGCTTTGTCTTCCAATTTGAATTCTGATGTTGTACCATCACATTGTGATAATAATACTGAAGTTGTAAGTAGTCAATCAGTAGAATCCAATTACTTGTACAATTTGTGGCATTGTCGTTTAGGACATCCTCATAGTGAGGCACTTAAAAATGTTCTCCTCTCTTGTAACATTTCCATTCCTAATAAAAATGAGTCATTTTTCTGTTCTGCTTGTTGCTTGGGAAAGGCTCATAGGTTACCATCCACTTTGTCTACAACCAAGTATAACAAACCATTTGATCTCATATACAGTGATCTATAGGGTCCTGCTCCAATCAAGTCTTCCATGGGATACACTTACTACATGTCCTTTGTTGATGCACATAGTCGATTCACATGGATCTATCCTCTCAAACTAAAATCTGAAGCTCTATCAACTTTCAAACAGTTCACTTCCTTGATTACCAACCAGTTTCAAACCACCATTAAAGCCATTCAAACAGATTGGGGGGTGAATTTCGCCCCTTTACTCAACTCCTTAACCAACTGGGTATCATTCACAGAATTGCCTGCCCTCACACACATCACCAAAATGGTGTTGTTGAGAGGAAGCATAGGCACATAGTTGAAACAGGTTTATCTCTTCTTGCTCATGCTTCTCTCCCATTAAAATTTTGGGATCATGCTTTCATATCAGCTGTGTACCTTATCAACTGTCTCCCTACTGCATCATTGCACTTTGAGGTACCATTTACTAAGTTGTTCCAAATTATACCTGACTACAAGTTTCTCAAGGTATTTGGATGTGCCTGTTTCCCTTTTCTTCGACCATATAATCAACATAAAATTGATTTCAGATCCAGTGAATGTGTTTTTCTTGGGTATTCACCCAATCACAAAGGATACAAGTGTCTCAATTCAGATGGAAGATTGTTTATCTCTAAGGATGTGGTCTTAAATGAACACAAATTCCCTTATGTGTCATGGTTCAAGCCTGACATCTCTCCCTCTCCTGTTTCTTCCTCATTTGCAAACAATGTCATTCCTCTTGTCTCTCACAGTCCATCAGTCACTCCTTCACAGTCCCTCTTGCCTTCCATACACAATTCTTCTTTAGATACCTTACCTGCAACACATGATTCACTGCCTCTTTCAAGCTCCTCATCCCCTTCATCCTCACCTACTGAACCACAAATAAAGCCTCATTCCTCTCCAATCCCATCTGATGCTTCCTCTCTGCCCATACTTGCTCCAACACGGCACTCCACTAGAACCTCACATCCTCCTTCCTATCTCCAAGATTATCACTGTAAGCTACCTTCTAGTTCTGTTAACCCACAGCCACATGCCCTACTCACATCTCTTGAACCAAGCTCAATCAAACAGGCCTTGTCATCTCCTTGCTGGCGTTCAGCAATGCAAGCTGAATATGATGCTCTTCAAGCAAATGAAACTTGGTCTTTGGTTCCCCTTCCATCCAACAGAAGAGTTATAGGATGCAAGTGGGTGTTTCGTGTTAAAGAAAATTCTGATGGGAGCATCAACAAGTATAAAGCAAGACTGGTTGCTAAAGGTTTTCATCAACAAGCTGGATTTGATTATAATGAGACATTCTCACCCGTAGTCAACCCTATTACAATTCGTACCATCCTTACTATTGCTGTATCCTATGGCTGGTCTCTAAGACAGCTTGATGTCAATAATGCCTTTCTTAATGGCATCCTTGAAGAGGAGGTTTACATGCAACAACCTCCTGGATTCTCTTCTAATGACAGATCTCTTGTATGCAGGTTAAAGAAAGCTCTTTATGGCCTTAAACAAGCACCACGGGCCTGGTTTGATAAGTTGAAAAGTGGCTTGTTTCAGTTGGGATTTGTTGGAAGTAAATGTGATCCTTCCTTGTTTATTTATCGCAACAATGGTCACTGTGTGTTTATGTTGGTATATGTGGACGACATTATTATCACTGGAAGTGATGCTCAACTTGTCCAACATCTCATTACTCGACTTCACTCCCAGTTTGCACTTAAAGATCTTGGTATACTTGACTACTTCTTGGGAATTGAGGTCAAAAGAGCAGCTTCTGGTTCTCTGATCCTTTCTCAATCCAAATACATTAAGGACTTGCTGCTTAAGGCTCATATGGCAAAAGCAAAAGGGATTTCAACTCCCATGCCCTCTGGATGCAAATTGTCCAAAAATGGTTCTGACTACTATGCTGATCCCTTTCATTTTCGCTCCATTGTTGGGGCATTGCAGTATGCAACTTTGACAAGACCAGAAATCAGCTATCCTGTTAATAAAGTTTGTCAATTCATGTCTCAGCCTCTTGAAGAGCACTGGACTATTGTTAAGCGCATTCTTCGGTATTTAAAGGGCTCTCTTGATCATGGATTACTGCTGTAGCCAAGCAATCCTGGAGGCCACTTCACCATCACTGCATTTTGTGATGCCGATTGGGCCACTGATTCAGATGATAGGAGATCAACCTCAGGTGCCTGTGTTTACTTTGGGGCAAACCTTGTGTCCTGGTGGTCCAAGAAACAGGCAGTTGTAGCACGCTCCAGCACTGAGGCAGAATATAGAAGTCTGGCTCTTGTCACTGCTGAGATTCTTTGGCTGAAATCGTTACTCCATGAACTGCATATTCAGTTCAGCACCCCTCTTGTTTACTGTGATAATCTGAGTACTGTAGCCTTGTCTCGCAATCCAGTCCTACATGCTCGCACAAAACATATGGAGCTTGACATCTTCTTTGTCAGAGAAAAGGTCATTGCCAAGGAGCTTCATGTTCCAGCTATTGATCAAGTTGCTGATACTCTTACCAAACCTCTTGGGGCTCCTCGGTTTGTTTCTCTTCGTAACAAACTCAGAGTTGTGAATTCTTCCTCTTTCAATCACTGCCTCTGAGTTTGCGGGGGTGTATTAACACTGCTGATGCTTCTACACGATTGAAGTCCTCATTTGCAATTGTAGCTAAATGTAGTTAGCTTTTGGGTTGTTGTTACATCTGTCAAGTTGTTAGTATCTGTTAGGTACAGCTGTTAGCATCTGTTAGAGTTTAGTTATACAGGTGGCTTAACACCTTGTGCCGAGTCATACTCCTTTAGTCTTGTATATAAGCTTTAGTTCTGTATCACTCTAAACACAGAAAATTCACCTACATTTTCTCTCTTCTGCTTCTATTCTTTCCTTCTTCATTTTCTTGACTCACCCCACAAGAAATCCACAAAATCATTGAACCCTTCGACCAAAACAAGCTCATCGATATTCTAAAAACCGCATCACTTTGTCACCCCTATGTGCTCGACGCCATTCGTTCGTCGCCGTAGATGTCAATTGTGGCGCAAAACGGCAAAAGTGCGCAATTCCATTAAAATAGCAGATTGTAGAGTTCCACCGCACCGCGATGCAGCAAGCGGGAGATGCGGCCATTGCAACAACAACAAAAAAACACGACTGTTTCGGCGCAATTGCGACGCAACATTAAATAAATGCAAAATTTTAAATTTTCCCTTATTTTAATTTTGTAACAGTTATTTTTGGAGTGATTTTTACTCTTTTGATGGGTTTCAGGCTGCACACTATATCAAGATTCAGAACCTTCTTGATTTGGGATGTCGGACTGCCGTGGGTATGATCAAAGGAAAGACCTCAGAACAAATACGCCAGATTTTCAATATCCAGAATGATTTTACTCCGGAGGAAGAAGAGGAGAACTATTACTCCTCAACATGTTTTAAGATAAAAAAAAAAGAGACTAAATTATTTAAAAGAGGGCAGAACTTTCTATTCATTTCTTGTTAAGCGGTCTACGTTTAATTCAGATAAATCCTCAGGTATAAGTTCATTTATGTTTTAATTAATATTTCAAATACATTACAAGCGCATGATGCTAATATTAAAGAGACAGTATTTATATTCACACTGCCATCAGCACTCTACATGCACAAAAGCACATACTAGCCATAGCTCCTTGGGTATATTCCACATTTTGATGAACTGAACACACAAAATTGGTCATTTTTGCAATTGAAGGCCCTTGTAGGATAAAAGCATGTATGATGCCTAAAGCTTAGAAACTGGCAAACCTGCAATTAGAAAGAAAAACATGTAAGTCCATTGTTCAGAGGGCTTAGAACAAACAATATTAGGCTCAAAGTGTCCAAGATGTTATTACCCAGGGCTTTTGCATTAACAATGCTTGGGGATGCAGCCGGAGGTCGAGCATTCTCATTGAGGAATGGTTCCACCCTATTGGCATCAAACCAAACTGGGTAGCCTTTAATCTTACCCTGCATTTTATATGGAGTACCATCACTTTTACAAGACACTGAAAATTTACAGTGATCATGGAAATAAATCCAAGATGGAGAGACATATACATACCAGGACATTTAGAGCTGCTAATGTGGCCATTCCCTCACGGGTCCACTGCAAACACATGCACATGAAACAATTGATTGTTTTTAACAGTGAGTTAACCATAAAAGACTCAGTTTTAATACTGAAAATCTTTAGCATAATGTGCGGGTTAGAATTACCTTGGAAGCAGATGCAATGTGAGGTACCACAATGGCATTCTTCAACTCTGCAAGCCCAGGTTTCATGTAGGGCTCTTCCTAAGAAAATTCTTACATAGCAACTTAAAAGGTAGTTTTGTAATAACAAATCCAATTATCCAAAGACAGAGAAGGTTCAATTACCTCAAACACATCAAGGCCTACTCGAAACATTGGGTTCTGTCTTAAATGCTCCACAAGTGCAGCTTCATCAATAACAGGCCCTCTACTGCAGTTTATAAGAATTGCTTCCTGTAATAGGGATATCATCACTAACAGAAAGGAATTTGCATCACACGATGCCATAAATATTTTAAGATTAAAACTGTGCTCCTTGAACTTTTACCTTCTTCATCTTGGCGAGTCTTTCCTTGTTGACTAGATGATATGTGGTTTTATCCAAGATAGGATGAAGACTAATCTACAAAAGCAACATTGATAAACCATATTATTTGGAATAATTAAATGTAGTATGTTCTAGCTAAAACATTAAATGCCCAGCATCAAGTACTTACTATATCTGCCTCCTGGAGGACCTCATCCATGCTTGTTGCCCTTTTCCAAGTCACCGGTTTTTCCCCATTTGCTTTCAAGAATTCAGCATAAGCTGCAATGGGGTAAAAAAAGAGGCATTAATTCGCAATAATATGGTTTATAAAAAGGACTTGGTAAGAACATGCCTGTGACAAACTTTTCTAGTCGTGTGGCCTGGTAGAGATCATAGTAAATTAGGTTCATCTTGAACCCTTCAACCTGATGCAGTGAAAAAGAATCTTTTGTGTTAGCAAATATATTATCTGGATTATATTATTGAGCCCAATACTCTTTCCAACTTTGAAAGTGCTGATCACATGAATAATCAAATACCATTAATTATCACCAGTTTAATACGGCAGAAATGCTCTTTCAAAATTCGATATAAAAGAGAGTCAAATAAGGATTTTATTTTAAATTGTCTCAAATCTCTAACTGATATAGCAAACTTTTGAGAAGAACAAATTTACCCTTTTATGCAAAGTCAGCAGTCAGAAACCAAGTAATTTCTGAGTGACAAATTTAGTGTGCAATAAATGAACCAGAAATGCGAGAGACAGTCAATGTTAAACTGAGATTTATTGGAAAATTACCATCATTCTTGCATAAGCCGATCCAATACGGCCAGCTCCAATAACACCAACAGTTTGTCCCTTGAGCAAGTTCCCAACAAATCTGCCAGAGAAACAAAACTAAAGCAGTTATTCCAGCCTTCAGAAGAGTATGTTACTCACAATTCAGTATATGAAGAAGACAAACAAAGAAGAACTTTCATAATATTTAAATTACTCTTGACAGAAAGAAATAAGAAAGGAGTTTGTAATAGTTTCCATACAGATGTGGTAGCCATCCATCATATAATCCTGCCCTCATGAACTCATCTGCCTCAACTATCCTTCTAGCAGCTGCCAAAGACAGTGAAGCTGCCAGCTCAGCTGTTGTCTCTGTGAGCACTCCCTACCAAATAAGGAATCAAACTAATGTTAGAATAAATACTTCCTCCTCAAGGCTATCACTTTTTCTCATAAAACACACACAACACAACTAAAACCACTTCAACTAAAACCCTTCTTCCAAGCATGAATGCTAACTCTACAAGAAGAAAAAATCACAAGCATTTAAGATGTAACACTAATATCAAAGAGAGATGGGAAAAGGGATAGCTTACAGGAGTATTTCCAACAGCAACACCGTACTTGTTTGCAGCATTGACATCCACATTATTATAACCAACAGCCATGTTACTGAAAGCTTTACCTCCCGCTCTGCTCAAGGCAGAGAACAACTCTTCTCCCCATTCTTCTGTCAGCTGTAATATATAGGAACTCCATCACATACCCACTAACCTCAAAAGCAAGAAAAATCCACACTAGGAAACCAAAATGATAATAATTTTCTTTCATAAAACTAAGTTTTTGCTTAAGTTCAGTTTCTAATTTGATGCTGTAACCATTGATCATTGTGTAGTAATTGTTGTTATCATTACCTGGCCTATAACTCCATCGCACTTATCACCAATCAAAGCAATGATGTCTTCAATTGACAGTATTGTTTTCTTCTCGGTACATATCTGAGTAGTAGTAGTACGATGAGACAAATAGGAAATTAAAATTAGCTTGTCTTAAGAAGAAGAAAAAAAGAATTTTGCATCCAATAAAGAGAAACAAAGAAAGTTTGATTACTTCAAGGCGACAATCTTGCTGGATGAGAAGATTGATCCAACGAGTTCCTGGCATTGGTTTTGTGCTAACAACTCTATATTTCCCATTTGGGTTCCATACCTCAATGGACACTGGCTTGGCCATGATGATGACAACAATACTGTAAGCTAGTTGTGAATAGTTTAACTTGAAATTTCAGTTGCACTTTGATATAATAATATAAGTGATTGATGATCTGGTGTGGAATGCTACACCATACTAATTTATTCCTGACCAATGAAATTGAGCAAGACTTTGACTTGTGATTCATTGACCTGATAATGTTGAGTTTGATGACTGGGCAGACAGTGGAGTAATAGTTGGAGTTGGATATAGGATTTAGACCCATTCAGATAACGTGAACTCATCATGAGGGGAAGAGATGAGTTGAAGGAATGCTATTGCCTTTGGGCCTCTCGTTGGGCACCACGAACGGATAACATCCATCCTTTTTATTTGATGACAAAAGTATCCCTTAAGCTTGTGGCTGATAGTGAAACAGTGAATAATTTCTTTCCTTCTTTCCCCCCATTTACTCATGAAAATTGAAAACAACTATTATCGTTATTAAAATGGGAAAAAGAACTATCATTTAAAACGACACAAGTTGTATCCTTTTAGATGATTTACACAAAGTATGACCGGTCATACTTTGTGTAAATCATAAAAGTTGCTTTTTTTTCTCTCTCCCTAGTCACATCGCTGACGTGTAAAGTGAAAAAAAAAATAACTTTTCAGAATTACACAGAGTATGTGTAAGTCACTAAAAGAACACAACTTGTGTCCTTTTAAATGACACACACTAAATCCTATTAAAATAAGGTTTTAATGTTTATACAGTGCTCTCAAAATAATATCATTTTATGTTAAAAAATTATAATGAAAAAGACTATTAAAATCCTGAAATAAATTATAATTATAAAAATATCTTAATTTTTTGCCTCAAAACAATATCATTTTGAACACAATATAAATAAGTTATCTATATTGACCGTAAAAAAAAACCAACCCTTAAAATAATTTAACTATGATTGCAACTATTTATATTTAGTCAGTATAAGATAGGCTTGGCTGCTTTCCACGAATCGGTTTCAAGATTAATAATTCACGAGTAATAATTCACAAGTAAAGTTACTTTTGGTTATTAACAAAAAAAATATTGTTCTCACTTTTAGTCTTTTATAAAAAAAATTAGTTCCGAGGTTCTTAAAAAATTCAAAAAGAATAAATGTTTCTGCAGTTAATGCAGATAAATTATTTGCATTTATTCCCAAAACGACGTCGTTTTGGTATTGAAATCTTAAAAAATTATAAATATAAAGACTATTATAAGTCTGAAATAAATTAAAATTACAAAAACACCATGATTTTTGCCCAAAACGACGTCGTATTGGGCTTACTGCAGATAACTTATCTGCAGTAACTGCAGAAAAAACGAACCCAATTCAAAATGAACTCATTTACTTAAAATTATGGTCTCTCATAAATTCAAAAAAGACTCATATTCGTCCCAAATTTAAAAAAGACTCATATTAGTCCCTCAAAAAGATTTAAATGAATCAATTTTAAATTTCATAGTGACCAAACGATTAATTTTTTTTTATAAAATACTAAAGCGAAGAACGTATTTTTTGTTAGGACTCAAAAGAAACTTTACACATAATCCATTCAAAGTATTTTCTCACCAATATATTGGGTTTACCATCCATTCCAATACTTAGGTCGCACATTAGTAAAATCCTCAGGGAATAATCATTTCATGAAATATGTCACAATTTTCTACAAGATCGCTATGATTCCGTTCGTGAGCAATGGATTGTTTTTCTCTTATCACTTTAATTATATTGTCTCCATTCTCCTATACTTAACCCTAATTGCGTATTTTATCTTAATCTATTGACTTGTGTGTCTGAATCTCTATGGTACATCACTCTCTCATTTTGTCAGTGAACCATCCAGCGAGCACCATCATTAACTACCACACAAGAAGATCTACAGGAGCAGATTCAAATTCGGGTATCTTTGGTATAAGTTTTATTTTTTGATTTAATGGGACAATGTGGGTGGGCATTGGTGTATACCATGTTTGGTACAAGTTATTGAAAAAAAATAGTAGGCAACTTGGAAGGATAGAAAACGGTTTGTGTTGATTTTTGGCACAATAACACTGTTCCAAAATACACCTTGAGACATGGTATTTTGGATATGGATGGGTAAGTGAAAATGGTGTAACGAAAAATGTTCCACAATAACACTATTGCAAATATTTCTCCGATAATATTTCGATCAACCAAACATCTTTTTTTAAACTTTTCTATCAAACTTATTTTCCTACCATTTCCTCATTAATTGTATTTTCCTAGTAAAAATATTTTTCTCCTCTACCAAACACCCTGATTCTATACTAAACCCACAAAGTTTGTAATTAGGAAGAATAAAATAAAATTTAAGAGTTAGGATTGTTGTGTACCATACATGATATAATTTTTTAGAATTTTAGTTAGAATTAAAAAATTAAATTAAAAGAAAAATCATATTTTGATCTAAAAAGGAATATATTTAGGAGAGGTAATAGTTACAACTTTTTTTTTTACAACCTCTTACAACTATATATCATAACCGTTGATTTCCACCAATCAACGGTTATGATTTTCGCAAATTAAACTCATTAATTAATTATTAATTCATAATAAATGACAACCGTTGATTGGCGGAAATCAACGGTTATGATATATGGTTGTAAGATGTTGTAAAAAAAAGGTTGTAAGTATAACCTTCCTCATTTATTTATGATTAAATTAAAAGGAAATTCAAATTTACATTTGTATTTTCTTAAAAAAAATTGATGAGCATTATCATTTGACTGATAATAAAATGAAAAATTAAGTCACTCAAATCAAAATAATTAAGTACAATTAATAGATAAGAGTAAAATATTAAAAAAAAATCTATTACTCTGTAGATTAAAGTGGGTCTGATTGATAGACCGGGTTGGATAGCTGAGGCCGGATGATCCAAAAAATCCGGTTCGGGTAGGCCGAAACGTATATAAATTGACTAGTCTGTGTTCACCTGAATAGATGAATGAACCAATGAACAAAGGCAAGAGCTTCGTCATCACTGCAGCGCAGTGTGAATCACTCTTGCGAAAATATTCAGCTTCTCATTCCCTTTCTGAAACTAAACAGTTGCATGCTTTTATCCTCACCTTTGGCCTATTCTCCTCCTCCAACCTTTGTTCTAAGCTTGTCACAACCTACGCGCAATGCCACCATGCTTCCTATGCGTCCCAACTGTTTGATATGTTGCCCCAACGAAGTTTGTTCTCCTGGAACACTATGATGAGGATGTATGTTCAAATTGGTCGCCCCCATGATTCCCTGAACTTATTTTTTGAAATGCTCGATTCGGGTCAGACTCTGCCTGACAACTTCACATACCCAGTTGTTATCAAGGCTTGTGGTGAATTGTCCTTGATTGATATGGGCGTTGGAGTTCATGGACAGACATTTAAGGCTGGATTTGATTTGGACACGTTTGTCCAGAACTCTTTGTTGGCAATGTATATGAATGCAGGAAAGAAAGCAGCAGCACAATTGGTTTTTGACTTTATGCAGGAACGAACCGTGGTGTCTTGGAATACCATGATTAGTGGTTACTTTCGGAATAACTGTGCGGAGGAGGCGCTTAGGGTTTATAATAGAATGATGAGTGTTGGTTTGGAGCCTGATTGTGCAACCGTGGTTTCAGTATTGCCAGCTTGTGGGCTTTTGAAGAATGTGGAGCTTGGGAGAGAGGTTCATGCCTTAGCTCAGGAGAAAGGGTTTTGGGGAAATATGTTAGTTAGGAATGCAATGCTGGACATGTATGTTAAGTGTGGAAGGATGAAAGAAGCGCGGTTATTAGTGAATGGGATGGTTGAGAAGGATGTGGTGACATGGACAACATTGATTAATGGATATATTTTGAATGGTGATGCAAGAAGTGCTTTGATGCTTTGTCGGATGATGCAGTGTGAAGGAGTGAAACCAAATTCAGTAAGTATAGCTTCTCTACTATCAGCCTGTGGCAGTTTGGTTTCTTTGAACCATGGCAAGTGCCTGCATGCGTGGGCAATAAGGCAAAAGCTTGAGTGTGAGGTTATTGTGGAGACTGCCTTGATTGATATGTATGCCAAATGCAATCATGGCAACCTAAGTTATAAAGTGTTTATGAAAACCTCAAGAAAGAGAACGGCCCCATGGAATGCGGTTCTATCCGGTTTCATACATAATAGGCTTGCAAGAGAAGCAATAGAACTCTTTAAACAAATGTTAGTGGCAGCCGTACAACCTGACAATGCAACCTTTAATAGTCTTCTTCCTGCATATGCTATTCTTGCCGACCTCCAACAGGCAATGAACATACATTGTTACCTTATAAGATCAGGATTTCTTTACTGTCTTGAAGTAGCAAGTATTCTAGTTGATATATACTCGAAGTGTGGAAGTTTAGGATATGCTCATCAGATTTTTAATATAATTCCTCTTAAGGACAAGGATATTATTATTTGGAGTGCAATAATTGCAGCTTATGGAAAGCATGGACATGGTGTAATGGCTGTGTCACTTTTCAATCAGATGGTACAATCTGGAGTAAAACCAAATCAAGTTACTTTCACCTCTGTTTTGCATGCTTGCAGCCATGCAGGTTTAGTTGATGAGGGTTTGTCTTTGTTCAAGTTTATGCTTAAACAGCATCAGATTATTCCTCACGTTGATCATTATACCTGTATCATTGATCTTCTTGGCCGTGCTGGTCAACTGAATGATGCTTATAATCTTATTAGAACAATGCCAATAACACCTAACCATGCTGTATGGGGTGCACTACTCGGCGCTTGTGTGATTCATGAGAACGTTGAACTGGGAGAGGTGGCTGCTAGGTGGACTTTTGAGCTTGAGCCTGAAAATACCGGCAATTATGTTCTGTTGGCAAAACTTTATGCTGCCGTAGGAAGGTGGAGAGATGCAGAAAACGTTAGAGATATGGTAAATGCGGTGGGAATAAGAAAACTTCCTGCTCACAGTTTAGTTGAGGTCAGAAATGTGTGAATTGAACTTGTTCATTTTGTCAGCTTAACAACATTTGCCCACAAACACAAAAATTCTATCCAAGAATGAGAGTCATTATTGCTGTAGCTCTGACAGACCCTGTAAAATGGGTAAAGGTATTTCCTTTATAGAGGGGGAAGTGCCTACTTGTTGCCATTATGTCAACTGTGATGGAGGGTATTGCTGGTCTTCTTGGTGACGTATTGCTTCAATAATGTTTCGCAAGTATAGTGTTCAAGGCAGAGATTTGGACTACAATTTCCTTGAATACACTTGTGTTACTACCCAATACTAAGCAGTGCTTAATGACTCATGCTTTTCACACACATTCATCACCTTAAAAATTTCCCAGTTGCCTTGTTTGTGGTTTACCTGAGACGGATTTTCAAGATATTCATGATAGTGCTTTAGCTAAGGTGTTCTGGACATTTTGTGGCCCTTAGACCTCCCACAACCACTTATTCTTCGGTTCTATTGATCAGTAGTTGGATTTTTTTGGTATTTCCAGTTGGTTTTCTGATTCACAGAGAAAGATAGGGCAATCTTATGTAACTTCTCATTGCTTGGCTCCTACGGAACTCATAACGAGCTCATCTATGATGATAGACATGTTCTGCTGCCATATTTCCTGCACAAATCCATGCAATTATTAATGATTTTGAAACAGCAAGATACAGATATCCAAGCTAATACTACAGTGTGATATGTTAATAGAGTTTCCCTATGTAAGATACGTTAGATTGGATGCGGATATGTCCTCCTTGGGAAATCCCTGGTTATTAGTTTTGGAAGATCATTCTAAGATTGATTCTTTGCAAGCTCCGCACAAGGTTCAAAAAGTAAAGTTGGGAATACATACATCGTGCTTGCAAAGTCCACCAAGTTCAACGTTCGTTACATGAAGATATAGACTTACTTGCTAGAGTTTGTTCATCTAACTCCACTTGTAAACTGCTCTTCACTCCTCCAGCTGGGCTTCACATGAACTATTTGGCAAATGCTACTCGAGTAGCCCTTCGCTCATAGTTTAGTCCAAAAAGATAAATAATCTTAGCTCCTCTTCACTGCAAAAGTACCCTATTTTTATGTGGTCATAGAACAAGCCAAGACTTCACCGAGCTAGCAATTTCATAGCCAAAATTTTCATCCTATAGTTTCTCTTTCAATTTTATTTAATCTTTATAGTATAAAATATATTTTAAAAAGGCCTTAGAAGTTTTGTCAAACAAATGCAGAATAACAACTGTCAAATTCCTATAATTTCACTCTGAACAGTAAACAAACTCAACTAACAGATTATTTTGCATTGTTTTGTAAACTATTAAAGATTTATTTGGAAAATTAAACTAGGAACTCAGCTAAAATTTGAGTAAAACTATAAGAACCGCAACATTAATTTTATCATAAATTGCCATATTAACAAAAATATCATTAACTAATCTTAAACTTATATACGCTTAATAAAACACATTATTTCTAACTGTTATTGCTAATTATTTCTAATCATCTAATAATTATATTAACAAAATAAATTTCATGCAAAACTAATACTTATACCAAGAAATATATTTAAAAATTATAAATAAATATATTTAATATTTTAAATGACATAACTCTGATTTTAGGTGAAATGTTCATGTAATATGCATATATTTTTTTTGAACATTTTATCTCATCCACAATACTTTTTCTCTCTTTCCTTCTAATTTTGTAAAGAAGAGAGAACATATATACATTATGTATATATACACCAAAACATGTTCACTTAAGATGATAAACATTTTTCCTATTATAAATAAGAGATTAATATTTTAAGAGATAATTTTATTTTTTATATAAATAAAAATATATAAAACTCATGTAAAGAGAAAAGAAAATATAAACCCCATATAAAAATGTGTATTATAAATAAAATTTATCTGCTATAATATGAAAAACATTAATTCCTATAAATAATCAGCAAACACTATATAACAAGTAGTCTTTTAAATATTTACAAAAAAAAAAAAAGTAGTCTTTTAAATCAATCAAACGAAATATGGATTCATAATCATTTGTCCTTGCACTCCAGCCAAATAATCCTGAAGGAAATCAAGTATCAATACTGCTTTCCAGCGATAACGAGCATCACAAGAAAAACAAGATTCAACCAAAAAAAAACTGAAACAAAGTGGCATTTGATAAACCCAAGAAAAGAAAACATTTTTTCTTTCCACTATTTGGGATATAGAACGCCAAACTATAAACGGGGTGCGCGAGTTTGTATGCAGTACCATTTTTTTCCTTTTAGGGCTATAAAGAGTGCAGCATCACTTGAAAAACATAATGATCCGTACAGCATGTATGATACGATATTACGGGACGATAATACAGAAACAACATTAAAAAAAAAAAAAATCAAAAATAAACTTAATAAATATGAATTCCTTCAGAGCAAAGTAAACGAGAAAGACACATGTCAAGAGTTGCTAAATCTAAAATCCTCTAAAAGGAACATGGAGGATGGGGATCAAGGGAAATGCTCATATTCCTGTAAAAGCTTTCTTAACAGCGCCAGAAGAACCAGCAGGAACCACTTTCAACACGTTAAATCTCACTGTCTTAGACAATGGCCTGTTAGAGAAAAAAATAAAAATAAATAAATAAAAACAATAAATTAAACGCAGTCACAGAAGTTGAAGACTGTATTTCAAGCTACAGATTTCACAGGACAAGGGTAAATAAAGAGTCAGTCACCAACCTGCACTGTCCAATAATAACATGATCTCCCTCCTTCACACGGAAACAAGGAGATATATGTGCTGGAATATTTGAGTGCCTCTTCTCGTACCTAAGGGAAAACCAAACAGATAATAAGCTAATAGAAAAAGAATAAGGCACAACTCGAACTTACTGAAAGGTAAAGACGCTTGCCTTTGGTATTTTTTGATAAAATGAAGATAATTCCGACGAACAATGATAGTCCTTGTCATTTTTGCACTATGGCAAGTGCCAGCAAGAATTCGACCACGGATGGAAGCATTGCCGGTGAATGGGCATTTCTTATCAATGTAAGCGCCTAGACAGGAAGACAAACAAACCAATCTTGTTAGAATCACAGTAGATGTTCAGATCAATGAGCAAAATATCTCATTTCTACTCTCAGCTGGTAACCACAATAAACATAAAGGAACAACATATCTATTTAATTAATATTTAATAACACTTGAAAACTAACCACAACATCACCATTATATATTCAATCTCAACATCTATTACATCTTGAACCAAAACATAAAAGGAGAACAGCAGCATTGATGTGAAACTGTTTAAATTGCATTGCATGGGCTCACAATACAGTTTCTATGATGCCCAACCACAAGGGAGAGACCATTTTCATTGCATCAGTTTGCAGTTGCAACACAAAGGTTACACACACAAATATAGATAAGTATAACCATTTATCAACAATTAACTCACAGATATTATATGTATCCAATGCAATAAAAAGCAAATCAAGTAAGAATTACAATAACGAAACTGCGGATATAGATAGATACACAATCTAAAGTTGAGCAAAGAACATAAATTAAAAGAATTTGGGAGCTCAAACCTTCAATTGCATCTCTGGGAGTCTTGAATCCCAAACCAATACTTTTCCAAAACCTGTTCCCTCCTTTTCCAGGCCTCTTCCCCTTACCGGATTTTTTCGAACTGCATCAGTGACCACATAAATCCTCAATGCCATTACAGATACAATAAAAATTCAAATGGTTGTATTGGAAAAAACACAATATACAGAAAAATAAAAAATAAATAAATAAAAGAGTGAAAACAAACTTACGAGAGAAAAACCTTGGGTTGCTTCAAAAAAGCCTTCTCCGTCTGCAAAAGAAGTAAAAATATGTAAGTTTTCAGAAGTTAAGCAAAGAAGCCCTAAAATGATTTATGGATCAGAACCTGCTCCGCCATTGATAGAGACCGAAAGGTAAAGGGGGCAAGCAGAGCGGAGAGAATTAGCAGCAGACACAAATAGCACAGCAAGCAAAACCCTAATTCAAGAAAGGAGGATCGATCGGGAATTATAACTGAGGTTGGTCACCCAGCCCAAATCGAAATGGGCCAGCCTAAATATTCAATATAATTTTGAGTTGGGTAGGTTTTCTGAAAATCTGGGTAAGCCCAATATATATATATATATATATATATATATATATATATATATATATGGGTAAAGTGTGTGTCATTTTAAAGGATGTAAAGTTGTATCATTTTAAGAGAGAAAAAGAGATAGATAAAGGAGGAGAGAGAGTTGACAAAAAAAATAAAGATGTGGGTCTCACCTTCTTGTAAAAGTGAAAGGATATAAGTTATGTCATTTGAAAGAATAAACATTTTTCCCTATATATATATATATATATATATATATATATATATATATATATATGGGAAAAGTGTGTATCATTTTAAAGTATATAAAATTGTGTCATTTTAAGTGTGAGAAAGAGATAGATAAAGGATGAGAGAGAGTGGACAAAAAAATATAACGGTGTGGGTCTCACCTCTTTACGAGAGTGAAAAGATATAAGTTGTGTCATTTAAAAAGACAAATATTTTTTCCTATATATATATATATATATATATATGTTTTATACTTTTCATGTAATATGAAAAGAGAAATTTTCTTACACACCATCGATTTCTATGCTGACATGAGTTCCACTTCCACATATGACTTTTTTTAACATATGTGTCTCACATAACTTTTGTCTCTATGACATAAGAAGGCTCATGTAACTTCATGATAAGTATAAAACCCAAATATAGACGGGCTTGTTTATCTGCAGAGAATACCGATAAGTTATCCCAATTGAGCCCAAAACGATGTTGCTTTAGGAGTAAATATAGATAACTTTTCTGCATATATATATATATATATGGCAAGATTATTTGATTCTGGTGTCAAATTAAAAAGTTTGATACTAAATTCCAACCGTTGATTTCCCTAATCTATCAGTTATAATTTATTAGGTCATATATATTAATTAATTATTAATTATGAATAAATTATAACTGTCAGATTAGCAAAAATAAGCAGTTTAGATTTGGTGTCAAAAATAGTAAAATTAAATTTTTACTTATATTAAAAAAAAAAAAATATGTTCGCTTATGTATTCATGTACAAATATTGTTTTATTAAAAAAATAATAAAAAATTATATTTTGTATAGAATATTTTATGAAAGTGTTAAATACTTATTTGATAAAATAATTTTGAATGTATTGAATATGATTAAAAATTAAAAAAAATTATAATTATAATTTTTGATAGCTCGCAGGTTAGCCCTAGCCCACAAGGGCGGACCTACATGGGGGGCATGCATGGGCGGCCGCCCCCCTCTATAATCTGAAAAATGTCTACATCCTCCAAAAAAATACATAGTATATTTCATTTTTCGTAACTTGTGGGTTACTTTAGCAAAACTAGTATTGTGTGCCTTTTGGATCTGAAATGGGTTGCATTGATTTCATCTTGTTGATGATCGGTACAGTCTTTTTGTTCAAAGCTTTCGACTTCACTTTCTGAGTCTCCTTCTTTTGCTTCATTTGATACCCAAAATCTGTTAGCATGAGAAAGAAGCTTGATACCCATCTTCCTGTTGTGAGTATTTTCACTTTCTCTTTGTAAAGTTTTGATCTTTTTGTAGTTTCATGTTGTTCGAATGCTCAAAAACCAACAGAAACTGAAAGAAAAAATGGGTATAAAATAATTATAGTTTGCAATAATTTTTGGAATTTATTTGTTTAGCTTTATGGTGCTTGATAACTGAAGTATATGGGTCTGTAGTGATGTGGGCATTATGAAACTTTATGATGTTAGTTTTAGGTGCTCGCCTAATTTGGGTTCTACGAGCTTCCCCTTCTTTTTGGATTTATTTTAGTTATGTAATTATATTTGTTATTAAAATTATTTAATGGGTGCATCTCTTGAGACCGCTGTACATATTTTTTGGTTTAAGATTGTGATCTTACTTTTCATTGTTGACATGGCACACGGCAATGAAGTAATTTATGTTAAATTCGTCAATTTAGTATCCTTGTTAAATTATATTTTATTTAAAATTCTATAAATTGAATTTGTTAAATTTTCGCCTCCTTTCATATCATTTTCTGGGTCCGCCGCTACTAGCCCATAAGACTTTTAGCCTGTGTGGATCTTTCTTATTATGAGCCATATGACCCTACGGACTTTTTGTCCTAATTTGCGTGGGCTATGACTTAAATGGGATAGGCTGTCCCATTATCATAGCAAATAAATTTTGAATTGTCTAAAGTAAATAGAAAAATAGTTAGATATGGTATTTATTATGAACCATAATTCATAATCACATGTGGTTTAGAGATTAATAAGATATCGAGGTAGTGATAAGTATAACAAGTGACAAGCAAGCATAAATTTAGCAATTATGAGGCCTTTGTAAGATTTGAAATTAATACCAACATATTTTATCAATTACCAACTTCGTTTTTTTTAATAAAAAATAGGGAAAATTCAAAAAAAAAAAACTTACAAGTTTTCTCAAAATCATTTACCCCCTCTCAGAAATTTTTAATCTTTTACCCTTCTACTTAAAATTTCTTTAATGCTTACTCTCTAATTTGATTTTTCATCCAAAATTTTGTTAACAGAATTAAATTTTTTTACAAATACCAAAATTACCTTAATAAAAAAAAATAAAAACATAATTTCCTCACAAACACAGTTTTAGACGAACTCACGGAAGCAAGACATAAATGTAAATCAACGATTGAATCCTCCCTCCACATTCATGTTTTCTTAACTTTTTTTTTCTTAACTTTTGCTTACATTCATGTTTTCTCCAAACTATTTCGTTGTCTTCCTGTGTTGCTGAGAGTAGAGGGAGGATTCAATCGTTGATTTATATTCATGTGTTTCTTCCGTGAGTTCATCTAAAACTGCATTTGTGACGGAAATATATTTTTCTTTTTTCTTCTATTAGGGGTAGTTTTGGTATTTTTTAAAAAAATTAACTCTGTTAACAAATTGGATGGAAAATCAAATTATGGGGTAAGTGATAAAAAAATTTAAGTAGGGCGGTAAATGATTAGAAATTTCGGGGAGGGCGTAAATGATTTTGAAGAAACTTGTAGGATTTTTTTTGAAGTTTTTCCTAAAAAAATAAGCAAAACAAAATGTGTAGACAAAGTTGTAGAGCATGAAAATTACAATATGAGTAATTATTAGATGATGAATTGAGAAATTAATAAGGTGTTAGGAACGTGATTTTCATACTTAATAGGAGGTTAGTTAATATTATAAAAAATTTGTGAAAATTCCTTCTTATTTTTAAATCATTATTTCAAACAAACTTTTATATAAGAAATGATTACCAATATATTCAAAATATTCATGATATAAAATTTTTACAATTAAACAATATAATAATAATACAGACATGACATCAAAAAAATAATTAAAATGCTAAATTAAAGAAGTGGTAAAAAGATTGCAAACTATCGTTATTGTTAGTAGAGCACAAGATCAAATATCATTTTTACAGTAAATTAATTAGCACATTTTAGTTCGACACTAGAACGAAATCAAATATATATTTTGTTATTTCCGAGGAACCACAAATTTGGGATATATAATTCTAAGGATTTCATTACTTTTAATTTAGTTGGATATACTCTCGGGACACGGGATACGACACGATACGACACTCCGACACATTAATTTTAAAAAATGTTAAATTTCGACACGTTAGGACACGTTTTGATATTATATAATATTTTTAATTTATGTAGTACATATTATATTTAGTATTCAATAATTTAAAAAAAAAATAAAGATAAACTTATAATACTTATCAATTTTACGAAGAAACATAAGATATCTTAAATGTTTATATTAAACTCAATAAAATCGTAATCGTAATCTAACGAATCTAATAGTTGGAACTCAAAATACAATGCAACGTAACCTTCGAATCTTTTTTGAGTCTTTGCAACTAGTATTGAAGTGTCGGAAAGTGCCGGTGAGTGTCGGACACGACACGTCAGAATTTTTGAAGTATCGGTGCTTCGTAGGATATACTAATGTTGTGTATAAATATATTCCATATAAAGCTTATTCTCAAATTAGTTATTTATTTTGTTATAATGGTACTGCAATTTATTGGCATTCTTCCAAGCAATCGCTAGTAAGTGCATCTTCTAACCACTTTGAGATTATTGCTTTATATTAAGTTAGAAGAGAGAATCCTTGCAAATATATTATAACACATATTCACGTTGTTTAACATTAGCAATTGACTCTCTTACTATAATTTATAAAGACAATGTTGCTTGTCTTGCACAAATTAGAGGAAGATATATTAAAGGTGATAAGACCAAGTATATCTGGTCAAAATTTTATAATACTAAAAAAAATTTTATAATACTGATAAACTCCAAGAAAATCCATAAATTGATGTTAATCACATAAATGATGAATTAGCTATAACAGTCATTGTATCAAAAGCTAGTGTAAAAATGTATAAACGATAGGAACGCACTGTAAAAATGCAAGTAAAAATGCTTCTTAGTAAAAATAGGTAAAAACATTGTGTAGAAATGTAAAAACGATAGAAACACAAGTTTTTTAGATTTTACTTAAACTCAATTTTTTTTTAAATTCTTTTTTTCATTTTTTTTTAAACTCAATTTTCTCTTTTTGTGTTTTTGGATCTATGTTTTATATAGTTATGTGACTTATATATTTTAAATATGAAGTTTTTCATTGAATTTTGAGTAATGTCTTATGTGATTTTTTTTTACTTGCACATATATATAATTTTGTATCTTGACTTTAAGTAGTAAAAAATTTATATTTCGTATCGTTTATACGATATACATTTTTATTACCCCTTCTGTTTTTACGTGAAAACTCAATTTTGACAACATTAATAACAGTAGTTATATAACTCTGTTGAAAGAGAGATATTATGAGTGATAATCAAAATTCCTTTCATTTTATCCATGTTTTGTCCCAATAGCTTTTTCCAACATAAG